CACCTGGTCCATCGTTTTCTGCACAGGCCGCACGTTCCTCACGGGAAATCCCTGCAGGCAAACAGCACCGTTACCCCCCAGGCCACAGCCAAAGCGAGCTTCCTGCCCCAAAAATCAAATAAACAAGGTCAAATTCATGCCGAGCGGACCGACAGCAGGGAGCCAGGCCCTGCTGGTGCGGCTGCCGGGGAGAGCCAGCGCGAGCCCCATCGGACCTGCGCTGGCTCCACAGGCCCTGCTGGGCCGTGGAACGCGGCCAATTCTCTCAAGCGAGATCCAACAGCAAAATGACTGGGAACACAAGCTATTTCCAAACAAAGCTATTTCTTCATCTACATCAATTAAACAGAAAAAAAAGCCAAACCCAAAGCAGAACGCCAACCGATTTCAGCTCAAGCGTTACATCCGCCGCAGGGCACAACAAAAACCAAACCAGGCAGCTCCTCGCTCCTTCGCAGAGAAGGGGCTGGCGCGGCCCTGCCGCCCCGCGCTCACCTGGGTCGTGATGAAGATGGGCTGGCTGGCCACCGGGGAGTTGGTGACGTGGTTGGCGTTCTGCATGATCTGCACGGGGCGTAACACCGGCTGAGTGACCATCGTGCCCAGGCCCGAGGTGGGGTTCTGGGTGAGGATGAGTGCTGAACCAGAGGATTGCCAGCTGCAAGGAAGGCAGAGACACAGCACAAGTCACGCTCGGCAGCTCCTGCCACACACACGGTTGACAAGTTCAGCCTTCGGTATTGGAATGAATTTTCCAGAGCATGCTTTGAAAGTAAACTTGTGAAAACATCCAACCTTTCTATATATTGCTTTAATATTCATAGTCAGGCTAGGATTTCCCAAGCTGCCCAGGAACTGGGTGTTCAAATCCCTTAGCCTTGAGCAACCTCAGAGACTGATTATTCTGGCTCCTACGTGCCCTTTGAACACAGCCACAGCAGCTAAAGAAAATATTTTTTCTAGTCTCATTAACTAGTAAGTAAAAGTTCACCTGCTGGCACATAACTGGGAAAACTTACGCTGGAGCACTACAGCCCCAGCACAGGAGCGATACCAGGAGTCGAGAAACATGGAAAGTTTCTGCGCAGCCTGTTGGGGACACCAGAATGCGCCGAGGGCTTCAATTAACCAGGGTGTCACGAGAACCCTCAAGTAACGTGAAATTATCTTCAGCATCCTCGTACAGAGAGAGGACAACGGGACTGAACCTTGACGAAGCGGCAAACAAACTTCAGCTTTAACCGAAGAGGAAAAAAAAGAGAGATTGAGGACACCTGCATCCCACTCCCACTGAAGTCGCGATGTGCAGCCTGTGTCACAAGAACGTGTTCAAAGTGCTTTTTCTCTTGACTCAAAAGCAAAACATCCTGCTTGAAAAAAGAGTTAAGATGGGGAAGACGTGGTAATTTCACCCGCTAAACTCACCAGCCTTAACATCACACGACGCAAAGGGCTTCACGCAAGTCCTTTGGTGGGAGCAACTGCCAACAGGCGAGTTAGCGCAGCTCCGCAGGACCCTGGGCCAGCAGAGACCCCCGTCCGTGCAGCTGCAACTAAAACAGCTTCAACATCTTCCCAGGGCTTCACGCTAGAGGCTTTCATGTAGTATTTGCCCGTCTGACAACTCACACCTTACCCCAAGCAGCAGCAACTCGAGCCCTTGTGCTTGTGCCAACGGACGTGCCAGGGAGCTCTACCCGTGACATCCGTTCCCCGCCACTGGCACCTCTTTTTCTTGTCGGATTTTCCCCTTGCACAGCTGTCCAGCTGTGACCTCCAACTACCCCCAGGAAAACCCACAGGGCTCAGAGCGTGGCCATCCCAGCTGGCAGCACACGTGCCCAGCGGGAAAGACCCCGTTTGTCCCCCGTGTGCTCCGAGTTGCACAAGCTCTGACTTGCCAAGCGGAGCAGACGCGCGTGTTCGCACAGGAGGATCCCCTGACTGCTCCCGGCAACTTGGGCGTCAACATCACGTCAAAACGGGGGGGAGAAGAGTCTCCCACCACCTGCCAGCGTGTGCCGGCACCGCCAGCCCCTCACGGGACATCCTGGTGGCTTTAGGGCCCCAAAGGGCCCGGCAGTCCCACTGCTGACATCAGAGGGAAGCGCCGCTGTACCCCAACAGCAAGTGTTTCCTTTACAACCGTGTAAATCCAGGAAAAGACCCGCCGCGTGCCAAAACGTTCTGTCCCACAGCCAAAACAGCTTCTTTTAATGGAAGATGCTTCACACTGACAGTCTGGATGCTGCCTGGCTGGCAGTCCTCGGGGTACGGCATCCAAATGTTTTCATGAAGATTGTTCTAGGCAGAAACAGCAGGAGAAAGGAGGGCTGGATCAGAGGTAATCCCTTCAAATATCAGAATAGGAAAAAAAAAAAAAGAGGGGCAATTATCAGAGAAATCAAAGAAAGAAAACCAAAAAAAAGAATCTTCGGAGAGCTCTGTGAGGCTGTGAACATGTAGGTGCCACCTAGTACCCGATGAAGACCCCAAGCCAGAGCAGCAGATCATTTTCTCCTCCTCGCTCTCTCAAGGATCTCGCTTGGCTGACAAGGAGCCCAGAGCCAGCCCCTGATCTTTCAGGGAGCAGGGATCCCACCGAACGCTCCAAGCCTGAGAGATCTCACGTTGTTTGAAAAGAAAAAAAAGAAAAATTAGGCCGAGCGTCACTTCAAATATATTTAGCGTTCAGTAATTTTTCCTTGTATGTCCCAGTAATCTGAGACATTTTAAAACCAATCTTCAGGGAAAAGCAAAAAGATGGAAAAAGATAAGCCAGCAGATATTTTCATCTTTAGTTTGGAAATCTTGTTTCTTGATTTTTGGACACGGGGTCACTTCTATCCAGCCCAGGACACACTCTGCTCATTCAAAGGAGAATTGTTGGTTTGGGTGTCAAGAATACGACACACCTCAGGGAATTCAAGCCAGTGTTTGTCCAGAAAGTTAGATATTTACCAACAGGGATGCTGTTTTTTAAGAAAAGAGAAGTTTTAGGTCTCCAGTCTTGCTCAGAAGCCAATTACATCCTAGAGGGGAAAAAAAAACCCGCAGGAAAACAAACCCCAGCAAAACCCTGGGAGAATGGAGAGCTTTAACGGGTCGTTTTCAGCCCTAGCTTGTAAGTCTTTTTAATTAATGTAGAACAAAATGCAAGACGACAGCCATGAGCGTAAAACCAGATTGCTGAGAGCTGGGATGGCTCCAGACACGGCTCGTTCTGTGAGCGTTCCGCACAGTCACAACTTCAACTGGGATGTGACCCTCAGTTACTGGGCCAGCGGAGACCGCAGGGACCGAGGAGGTGACAGATGTCCCCGTGGCACTTTGCCACTCCAAGTCCTCGCTGGCATCGGGCCAGGAAGGATTCCCCTGCAAGTCCAAGTCGTGTCACATGAAGTGGTGGGGACTCGACGAGCACAGCGCTCAGGGAAGGAACGGCCGCTCTGTCAGGCTGAGGAACGCTCGCTCACCTTGCTCCCACAGCGAGCGGGCTGAGCTCTCCTGCCTCGATGCCACCAAGAGGAGAACTTCCCCACCATAAAACCTGAAATGCTCCAGAGCTGAGCAAAACCAAGCACGTTTCTGTGCTTTTTTCACCCATCCCAAGGCACTCAGACACAACCCACATCGTTGTGAACAGCCCCAACTCCGAGGCGAACGCTTTGGGGCCGAATATTTCGTTTCGGCACCGCGATCCGAGCTGGCCAGGCTGCCGAGTCATAAATTCTGAGGACTTGGAAAAGTAACAGCGTCTTGTGGCTGTAAAGGTCATTCCCCTCCATCCCCTCTTTCAAAGCAGACCAGCACAGGCCTCTGTGATTTTCATATTTTTTTCCGCAGTCTAAGAACACTTCTCTGACCAAACATCACTTGGGAAGTTCTACAAACCCTCCCCAGCAGGCAGAGTCACGCCACAGGGCAGGGAGAGATCCTACCACACCATCAATCCCCCGGCAAGCAAAGAGGGCAAATTTCCCGACCGCAGCAGCCAGAACCAAACCAAAAAACCCAAATGGAACCAATCACATCAAGCCCCAGGTCAAATAAGTTGTAATAAGCCAGGTTTAACCCCACTGGTTTGACTACCTAAGTGAAGTCACAGGAAATACAGCTCCCCCACTCGGGTACCAGACCTCCTCGCTCATTCCAGAGTGCGAGAAGGGGCAGACAAAGCCCTCTGCAAAGCAAAAAGCATCACCTGTGGGAATTAGCAGTTCTCTCCTTTTACAAAACAACCGCTCTGGCTGTAGAACACACATTACTTGGCCAAGTTACCCCCTCACTTTTCAAATCTGTCGCTGCCATTTCCCTTTCCTTTTCAGCAACTCTAGCCTGGAATAGGGAATTACCCGTAGTGGTTTTATCAACCGAGTTGTAATCCTCGACCACAGAATCTTCAATCACGTCGCTGATTTTCTGCCACGGCTCCAGCTCCTCCTCCTCGCATTCCATAAAGAGGTCCGTGTCCGCCATCCTGCAAAAGGAAAAGAGAAACCTTTATGGGAAAGCTGTGTTTGATTTGCAGCGAGGTTCTACCTGCTCTCTGCTCCGCTATTTGCGGATCTCGCTGCTGTTTGCTCTCCTGAGCAGCGCCGCACACACGACACGAGTTCTTGTGGAGCTGCCTACAGCGAGAGTCAAGCATCTCCTCCTGGGACCGCATCTATTCCAGACCTCAGCGATGTATAAACGCATGTTAAGAGTTCAATTAAACATTCAGACCATCAAGCCAGAATTAAGAACAAGATGATTCGCAATTAGCAACAGTCTCAAGCGTCCCGGAGCCATCTCCTCGCGGGAGGTGGCAGAGCTGTCACCAAAGGGCTCGAAAAAGCTGAGTTTTCTGGCACCGACATCCCGTTGACACTTGGACAAGCCACAAGTCACTAAGCCAAGCTGCTGAAAGGAGCTTTCTCCCAGACCACGTTTCAGGATTTGGCTCTTTCTAAGCTTCGCTTAGAAATGATGATTTAGCAAACTTGAATTCTCCTTAATAATACATTAGGAGGCTTTAACCACCGTGACTCATTCTAGAAGCTCAATTGCGTTTAAGGAAATAAGGATTATTTTAGGAATCAAGATATCACAAAGCCTGAATCCCCTCATTTCCCACCTGGGTGACAGGACCAACGACTCCAGTCTTTCCCTCTAGCATCAGCCGCTGGGGAGGCCGGTGAGCAGAACAACGGCCGTCCCGTGCGGTACGAGAGCGGGAATCGAGACACCTAAAGGGATTTCGCTCTTCATGGTTACATTTCGGCGGCAAGAGAGACTGTTATGACTGAATTTTGTCATCACTGCTACCGCTCGACAGCCATAAAAATCAATGAGAAACGTTCTGAGACAAACTGGCCAAAAGAAACAGCTTCTAATACGGAGTGAGCAAGAAAATAACCCAACTCACACGCACAGTCTGGGTTTCTGGTCACTGAGAACGGCTTAAACACAGAGTAACTTTTATTAGCTCGCTGTCGAAAAACTAGATGAGAGACAGCTTTAAAATATAAGCTGGATTAAGTAAGCGCAGAGCAATTAGAGTCCAAGTCTTATATCATTAAGCTACATCCACCCTTCTTATCCTCGCGCAGCCGCAATTCTGGCCAAACGGACGCTGGAGCCGCTCTAAACTTCGGTTTGTAAACATGTCCAGGGCCAGGATTTACAGGAGGGGCTGCGGGTGCAACCACCTCCTGCAAACGCAGGCTTTCATTTTGATTTGTGTGGGGCCACAACAGCTCTGAAATGCAAAAGCGCGATCACCGGGAACCTCCTGCAATACAACAGGGAGCCAAAACTAGATTTCTACAATATACCCACCTGGAGTAACTGTTCCAAGGAGGTTAAGTTTCAAAAAACAAACAAAAAAACCACCAAAACCACCTCCCAGACCAAGAAGACTCCTAAAAACTTGTTCGTGTTTGTGAAATTCAAGGCGCCATCCAGCTGTTTTCCCCCAGAGCCAAGGACGGGCTCTCGGACTCTCCTTTTTCTGCGTCGTGTTTACCTAGAAAGGATCCGCGGAGCTTCTGCTGTGACGCTGCCTTCACGTGACGCCGTTTTTGCCCAGAAATCTCACTTCCATGCTTGGCTATGCTAATATAGACACTCCTCACTTCCCAGTTACGCTTCTGAAGCACAGCAATACTCGTTTTAAGGGCACCATGAAGAATTAAATTCGAAGGAAGCCCATGGTGCCGCTCCTGCTCCGTGGCTGACGGTCTTTTGTTCCACATTCACCTCGAGAATGGAGCCCTTCGTCTTTCTTCTCGACTGGTTTACGCCGAATTCACGCGGGCGTCCAATCCAAAATCCACGTTTGACCAAACGCCTCCAAACCGTGTATGAAAACATTTCTGTATCATTTCACTCCTGATCTCTACGAAATTGGATCTGCCCTTTACGAAGGCCTTTAAAAGAAGATCCAAGTCCAGTCCAACTCAAAGAACTCCCGCCAAGACTACGTGGGCTCCTTCAGCGAGCCGGAGGAAACTCTCGCTGGAGACCCAGCGCCGTGATTTTACAAGGGGAGTACCAAGAGTCCTGGTTCTCTGAGCACAGGTAGAACAAGAGATCATTTCTTTTCTTACCGTTTCAAGTTGGTCTCAGCCAAACGAGCGCTCTTCCCGGAGCGTTCCGTGACCTTGCCTCCTCCGCCGGCCCCCAAGCTGTGGAATGCCGCCCGCAGACACCGGCGCATCCCCAGAGCCGCTCTCTCCCGGCTCTTATCGCACCTTCCTGGCACATGCTCCCAGATAAGAAAAACCCCGGAGCAGCTGGGGCTCGCTGAGCCGGGCGGCAATTTTCCGGCACTGAAAAGGACACTGCACGGCTCCTCACGCCAACCGGGGCGGCTGAGGGTGAAGACGAGACGGACGTGAACAAACCAGAGAGCCCGGCAGCGAGCTACAAAACGCGACGGTCCAGGAAAAGACGGAATGACCTGGAGTTGTTCAATCTGCAGAGGAGACTGAACAGAGGAATCTTCCGACAGGTGCGAGGCTCCGGCGAAGCAGAAGGAAGCGGCACCTCTGCGACAAGACCAGGAAACGAAGGGCTCGACTCGAGGAACGGAAGATTCCGACTCGGGCGCCGAAAAGCCTTCCAGGAATAAAGAGGCTGAGGGGCTGCCCAGGGCGCAGGCAGAGCTGGCACCGGCACCACCTAACTCCACACCAGGCAGCCCTGTGCGGCTTTTGCCACGGGAAGCAACGAAACACTCCTCTACCAGTTCCCTCTTTTCATCTTTCTGAGCGCACACGACATGAGGAATAAATGTAGCACGTAAATCAAACCAGCCCACCTCAACGCATCCACAAATACCGCGTGAAGCCGTTATCTGAACGCGTTCATTGAACTTTTCGCAGAAACATACGCCTAAAACCAGTGCCAGTAACGTGAGGAAAAAAAAGCCAACCGATCAAGAAACAAATCAAGCTTCCTACTTGTCAAATACATCAATATATTAAAAAAAGAGAAATCCAAAATGCTGTAATATACAATTAAGCAAGTGTATTACATTAAGCATGAAAAAGCTCCCATTCTCCACAGCACCCATTACCTGCACGCTTCAAAGACATTGCTACCTTCTTCATTTACATAAAACCTGCAGTGTGGGAAACATTTTATTAATCTTATCTCAAAGGTGGCAAAGCGAGTCCCGCGAAATTAAGCGACTTGCCAAAGGTTCTGCTGGCAGCGAGCGGCTTGGTCGGAAATAAAACCCGCGACTGCCCAGCCCTCGCTCTCGTGGCTGAACAAACTCAAACTTCCTTCTGTTACGTTGGGAAAAAAAAAAGAAAAAAGGCCAAAAAAAAAGAAAAAAGGCAAAAAATACCAGCAAACATGATTTGTGAATGACAAATGGCAAGAAAATAGATTGCAAGAAATGAAGCCCTCAAGGATAGGCTTATGCTAGAGATCTGCTTAGCAGGGGAAAGCAAGAATCAAAGCGCCTGAAATGTTATTTTCTCTGCCCTTAACATAAACTTCTATATAATTACAAGATCTTGGTAAACCCAAGGCAAATCTCAAGCACAATACGCTGAGGTCTCGAGCGGATACGCCGCTCCAGCAGATCAATAACTACGCGTCTCTCGTTCTCGATATTCGCCCTTTCACAGAAACATCTAGAAAAGAAAATGCCGCGAAGCTTCTAGGACAAAGCTTCTCCTCGGCGGCAGACGCTCCGAATCGTGTTACTCCAGGCAGGGAGGAGCAGCGCCTCGACGCTACAGCGATGGGCAGCCTGTAAACCGGCGGGATAAATAACCCGCTCGATTAATTAACGCGCGCACATATGTCTGCCCGGGAAGGTTAGACCTGCGGAGGAAGCCTTCGCGCTCGGTGTAAAAGATATATTATTCAGCACCTCATAATTATTCAGAAGATGCACAGACAAAACGCTAAAGAGACTGTAGTTACAAGCCTCTTTTGACACTAACTTACATTATGCGCATAGTATTTCATCTGTTCATATCAACTGAACTAAGAAAATGTCTCCTCTCTTCTATAATGTAACAGCTTTGTTTTTCAGAGCTTTGATCTCGAGTATTTTTGTATGTAAGAAGCCTTTGCTCAATAAAATGATTAATCCCAATGATAAATACTCTACATTTAGCTTTTCAGCGCAGAGTTGGCAGATGCTTGGTTTGAAAATACAGGTGCCAAAAAAATTTAACCAGGGGAAAAAAAAAAAATAATAAAAGAGAAAATAAATCACAAAGTGTTCTAGACACGCTGCAAGAGAGAAAGCCTCTCGGAGACTGGAAGGTGCTTTCTCTCCCCTTGTTGGAAAATGGGAGAAGACCTTCGGGGAAGAGCCAACACACACCAGCCTTTCGCAAATACGGGCAGACACGGCCCTTTTTTTGTTGCCTTACAGAGTGAAAAAGCCAAGAGCCATTAAACTCCTGCCTTAAAAGGCCGGCTCTGATCAACGGCATCACCATTACCAGCGGAAACCCAACAATAACCGTGTTTTATTTGCACACAGCCAGACTATCCTGTCAGGAGAACAGGAGGAATCCTTTCCTTTCTTCCCAAGTCGCACGAAAAACAAACGATCATCTCCCTTCGTGATCTCAACTGAAATCTGGAATCCAAGATCCAACCGCGTTTATTTATCCACGGACCGTTAGAAGGACACCAGACACGATCCCCGTCAGCATTTCCTCCAGAGAAAGCGGCTGAACAGGTGGAAAGGACGAAACACCACGCTCGGTCTTCAAAAAGCTCCTCAGTACCCAACCCAAACCCTCAGCCCAGTCCCTCCGCTCGAGCGAGGTGGCGAACAAAGGACTCGCCAACCTCGCCACGCGGACAGGAGCAGGGTTTGGGTGGCAGCTGCAGGACAAGGCAGCTGGAGCTCACCCGAGCCATCGCTCCAAGACGCGTGGTGACGAATTTACAGTTTCATTCACGGCTTGGCATTATTTGACACAAAGCAAACAAGTGGTGACGCACGTACGCTGTAC